ACCTAATCATATTATTCATACATTTGCAGCGGAAATAATCTCGTGTGTTACATTAATTACCAAAATTTACCAAAATAAAATTTCGACATGAATTACTCGCGTAATGGACTAACAGTTCTTGTAACTAAAACCTGCAAAATAATTTATCTGAATCCCTGCATCCATAAACACACATATATACTCACAACCATATACATTGGTTTTCATAGCCATAGGCATAGTTTCATACTCCACAACTGCATACCTTACTAATACATATCATAGTCGTCATAACTTACACAACCACATAAATATACACATCTCATCAACTTTCCACACCCGTGGATATCTAACACTACATCAGAAGCTAGTATGCACATGAAAAACGTTCTCAAAACATTTTTACAAAAAAGTGTGGATCATTGGCCAAAATCCCGAGTAGTAGTCCAAGCACAGAGTAGTTGAAGACCATACCTCATCTTGCCTTCAACTCTTGCTCAGCTCCCACCTATACACCTATCTACTGCTGCTGCTGATGATCTGCTTACACATAGCATAAGCAGAGAAGAAGAATAAAAGAGGGTCAGCTCATGGCTAAGTGAGATAATCATAGCATCGTGAGTTCATAACAGAGCATACCCCTACCATACATCTAGCAAACAAGCCAAAGCACTGGGATCAGACCTCAGGCATCTGACATCCCAATAGGCAAAAGACTCAACCACCTCGACTTATGCATATGCATCTTATCATGTTTTACTTATAGGCGCCTGGCTACTCCCATGCTAATAACTCTCCCAGGAAACATACCCCACATCCCGTCGGATGTAGTCATACATACCCCAACATCCCGTCAGATGTGGTCATACATACCCCACACCACTATGGGTGTAGTCATACCCCGACACCACTCTGGGTGTGGTCATATCTCGTAAGAATCTTCAGTCACCGCCACATGAGAGGTGTGACTATCATACATATCATAATAGAGTAATAGCATAGGGACCCTAATTACTATGTAGTTGACCGTGAGACCACAACACTCATATTTGGTATCCTTATACATGATTCATATCTCATCTTGCTTAATCATAATTCATTACTTGCACATGTACTTGACCTGGCCATAATTGGCTCAACATAGGTAAATCAGGAGTCGTATAATTGCACTTCCTCGGGATAAACCCTCGTGCAAGTCATCCTCCTTAAACATCATAATATCACCAGGGAATATATATTTTCCCACTTGTGCATCCAAATACAACAATCATGAAAAATCATACCTAATCACCTTCTCGAACCATCGTAAAGCATATTAATAGTCAAGCCCACAATTTGCAACATATACATAATCATCAGCATAAACAATGTTCATATCGATTAGGGCAAGTCAATAATATCATACAGCAATCCAGGGTTCAACATATAGCACAAAAGTTCATACACCCCTAATCATGCCATTCTAGTTCACCTAGATCAATTCTAAGCATCAATATAATTATCGTGATACGACAAACCTGGTATGCCGTGCTAATCCCTCACCAGTTCTGGTCGTTCAAACACCGGTTTAACCTTCCCGTACTAAAACGTCAATTTCACGAACGAACCCCGAATTAAAATCCGAGACCGTCCTAATATCCCCTGCAGTATCCCCGTCGATATTAGTTCTAGGCTCCGGGTCAAATTCTTGATAAAAACACATCAAACCCTGGCCGGAGCTAAATTCAGCGGTTTGGACCCCGACCTAAATAATAGCCGAAATTCAGGGATTAGAACTAGAGGATTGATTACCTCGGTGCAGGAAGCTCGTATATGAAATTTGGGTTCAATCCGGCTTCCGGATACTCCGAAACCCTAATTTGGCTTATCGAGAATTCGAGAAATTTCTGAACCAAAAACTCGTTTTAAAGCTCTAAATCGATAAATCACGATGAATGGATGGATTAGGCATTACTTACGGGATTTTTGGATCAGCAGAGCTCAAGAATTGAGCTTTGAAACTTCTAGCCGAGCTGCCTCTGCTTCTCTGTTTTCTCTCGGCCGGAAATGGAAGAAGAAGAAGAAATGGATGCGAAAGAAATGACGGGGAAGGGTTTATATATGTGGCCGCTTAATGTAATATTATATATATATATATATATATATATATATATATATATATATATAATTCAAGGTCTAGATAGTGTTTACATACTCAAGGTATGCGGTACCCCGGATTTCACCCAGGGTACCGTAGAACTCGCCATATATATATATCGATTTTCGTCAAAATACTATCAAAACCCTCGATTTTAAATTGCGAACTTTCTAGCGATCGAAATATGGGTTTTGCTGGAACGGGATGTTACATATACTCACATACACTTTATCAAAGATTCAATTAAAAAGCATTAAGCTTCATCATATTCTCTCATGAAGGATAACAAACACATACCTCGAAATGACAAATTAGGCACTCAATCCATGATAATGAGATTTCCTCATTGAATTTAACCGATAACGTTGTATTTGAGGAGACTTTGGTGTCCCGTGATAAGAAATTATAAGGACTTTATACTCATCTCTTTCACAAAATTGACCACGAAGTCATTGGCTAATCATTTAATCAAATGATCAACTAAATTCTCTAGAATCAGGGCATATTGTATAGATATAACTTCATGAGTTATCAATTCATGAATTTTACTACGTCTAACTTTCAAATGACTAGAAGTGCAATTATATACTTGGCTATATGCCTTAACCAAAGAAGCATTACTATCACAAAAGAGAGTAATGACTGAGATGCTTTCGACCATAAAAAATCAAGTTTCTCAAACATCCTGGCTCTACTCCAGCAGAAGCCAGTGTCACAAACTATGAATACATAGTGAAACTAGTAATGCAATTTTGATTTTTAGAATCCCAAGGTATGTACCTCCCCCAAGCAAGAACTCATTTTGATGTTGAAGTATGACCGTTAACATCATAAATCCAACTTTCATTAGCCCATCCTTCCAAAATGAATGTAAATTTACTATAAGTCAGTGCATGATACATTGTGGCTGAGATATCCTAGTCCACAACTAACTGCACAACAATGATGAGCATTAGGACTACTTATATATCGCCTTAGTTGTCATATCGCATATATGATATTTGGTTTTGTGCAAGTGATTACATACATCAAACACCCAATTGACTGGGAATACTCCAGTTATGAAACCAATTGATTAGTATTAGCTATAAGCTTCATATTTGGATCCGCTAAGGTTTTTAATTCACATCAAGTTTCCCAATGGAACTTAGAAAGTACTTTCTTAATGTAATGAGATTGAGATAAGACAACTATTTTGCCATTATGTTTTATTATGATTCCTAGAATTACATCAGTCTCTCCCATGTTCTAGACGAAGAATTTAGATGACAAAATTTAATTTAGTAAAACTATCAAACACTATTAATCCGATTTGAACCTATTAGCCCGGTTCAACAAAATTCCCAAGAGGCTATATGCATGTACTATTCTTAAACATTTTTCATTCCGATGGCTCAGTGAGGAATATAGTATTAATAAGTGAAAGACTTTAATTTCCAGTAACTAAAAAGATTGAAGTTCCAGTAGTTTAACTAGTCCTTTTCAAATCATCCCTTCAAACGATAGGGTTTTCTTCTTCCGAATACTCATATAACTCTACTGCTTTGCTCCTTTTATCTTCCTCATCAATATCTCAAGGATTCCAGTTAGCATGAGCAACAAAATGAGCAAGCTTATTTGCGGCCCTACCTGTGTTTCTGCAACCCAGAATTTCTGTCCGTATCCACCAATCTGTTGATCAATCTCATTTGCTATTGTTCCAATCTCGTTCCTTCAGTCTTCCCTTCCTTTCAGGCTTGTTATAGTCGGAGTCGGCCCATATTTCAGGACCATCTAAACTAGAATCCCCCAACCCTTGGTTTTTTCCATTGTTAAATAAGCAGCCGAGGAAGGTAAAAGAAGGAAACTTGAAAGAAAATGGAAACATAGGAAGTAGATGATGGGGAAATGCTAAGATGGTAGTCATTTATAATCATCCTCTAGAACCAAAAATGACTCCACAAATTAGAGATTCATGTGTAGATGGTCACTTAGGTAGGCTCAGCTTCACACTGCTGTAAGGATATTGGCCACAAGAATGCAGCAAGAGAAGAGTACACCAACATATTAGAGGAAGAAAGGTAGAAATGGTGGTATAGAAGGTCAAATTAAGGTATGGCTAAACACTGATTGCAAGAAACAACTTCAACCACTACCCCATATGCCACCACAACGTATATACATTTATGAGAGCCAGCAAGAGCCTTTATAGACCAGATGGAACTAACAATTATTACTTTACTCAAAGAGGTTAACCTGGTCAATCATCGGACCTGGAAGTAGTACAGACCAGTCGGAAGCTGAGATAACGATCTGAGGTGGTCAGGTGGAGGGTGATAGTGCTGCAAAAATACCAATCTACTTCTGTGTCCATAAAAGAACATCATTCAATAGCCTAGTAATAACTAAGGAGACAATACTAATTAGAGATGCATGTCTGTTTTTTTTCTTCTGCACAACCTAAAGTCCCGAAAGCCTTGTTAGTTCTGGGAATCAAGGGTAACCACCTATGTCAAGGGTAACCACCTATGAACATAAAGCAGACATGAATAGCACTCGCGCAACATAATGTTAAGTTGGAAAAGCTCTATCTCGCTAGTTGGTATCAGATTGTAATCAGTTCTCAGCAATTGTTAACTTATATAGTCCAACCATGAGGTCTCCTGACGATTGCTTTACCAAGTCCTGCAATGCAACAAACATGGGAGAGATAATCTCTGAGTAACCCAGAAGCACTGCATTAAGCATTGTGTTCCAAGAAGTCTCTGGCAGACCCAGCTCACAGTCCCACAAGCCATCACAGCTGGGAAGATTGGACAACAAAATATTCAAGCAAGAATCATGTCGTGAACACACAGAAACCCAAGTGCAGAAACGAGGTAACAAGACACAGTGCGCAAGAAATGTCGAAGATTTATATGTATTAAAGGTAATGCTAGCTGCTAATTACAGGTTACAACTCTCTCTAACCAATACTGCAAATGGGTTTGTTTCCCAAGTTGATAAATCTACAACAACAAGCATCCACAACACACAACGAGAGCTATGCGGTGTGTGAATTCCCAGTCCCTCATCCCAGAACCTCAAACTGAAAGCAGCTGGACCAACTAATCACGAAGGAATAAGAGCATCACAAACTTGGTGAAAAGCCAGGGAGAGAGAAGCAACTTAATCGGATGAACTGGAAGGTTCGGGCGAGGAAGAGGAAGACGTGAGGTGCCTCCAGAGGTAGCGTCCACTTGCCATGTCCACGCAAGTCCAGAACCCGGACTCCACAGCTGACCGGACCTGCAACAATTGGAAAAGAAGAACACGGAAGGGGGAAATTACTCAATAACAATTACCACACTGGAAAAACTGCAAAAAAAGGAGCTAATAACAGTAGGTGGTCATTATACAAGGAGAAGAACCTTGGAGAATCGAGTAGCTGAGTCGTCGGCGGCGGGGGAGGAGTCGTCGGGGAGAGGAGCAGTTTGGGGGGAGTTGAGGTTGCGGACGAGGAAGAAGCCGGCGAGAGTGGCGGAGAGGAAGACGAGAATGATGCGGAGTGGGCACATTTTCCCCTGCCTCCCTGGAGAAAGAAAGGATTAGCAGGAGTGAAATCGGAGCAATGTAATTACAGCATGCGAAGAAGAGGAAAGCTGATGACTACAGAGAGGCAAAACCTTTTTCCAATTAGGAGGAACAAAATGGGAAGATTAAGGCCAGGTTAGGATCGATCTGGAAGAAGGGGATTGGCCGATTTGTTGATTAAGCTTCTCGCAATTTGCCGCAAGGCACAAAAATGGCTGTGTGTTAATAATGACCTTGAGGAGAGGTGGTGGGACCCAGGCGGAGGCCAAGCACTCAGCCGCCCCCCATCCTTCCATTGAGAAATTTCTTTCCTGCTTTCCACCTAACTAAACAACCAAAATACCCAGTAAGTAACTAAATCACCCCTCTCTCGCGCTCTAGTAGTATGTTGACATCGTTGGATCGTCTCCTTTAACATTACATACCACAGCATCAACACACACTCAACGTTCAGCGTCAGCGCCAGATTCGTCGAGGCAGCCAAACATGCAGGCACATTAATAGTAAAGCTAAACATGAACTTTGTTTTAATAAGTAGTTCTTAAGATGTGTCCTGTACATAAACGGAAGTTGGCTCACTAAACTGGTCTGCTATAACAGTTAACAAGCAGGAAATGACCAATTTCAGCACTCTGTCTGCAAATTCAAACCTTGGTGCGTGATACACTAATGGAAGGTCCATAGCTTGAATGGAAAAACGACAATACAGCGTTCCATTAAGACAATAGGATCATTGTTAGAGACTGACGTGCCGCCATGAACTCTTCAAACGACTAAAACCAAGCCGGAGTATCGGTAAGGTATCAGTTAATATGCCAAACTGAAGCCTGTTAACAGATACTTGAATTAATCACAACAGTTGCAGCTAATCCTTCTCCACTTGCACGCACGTCAGTTTCTTAGGTACGAGAAATAGTCAACGAAGATGGCTTACCATCCTCTCCATTTCCACCGCCTGCTGTAATGTGCTTCCCATGTCACTCTGCCACCACTACCACTATCGAAGGAATTGCAGATTGGAAAACTCAGCACAATGAATGGCTGCTTTGCTTCACAACTCAACCCACCACCATAACACTCCATCACCCACTTCAGTTAGGCATTATCTAAGCATGATACATATTTAATACTTATTTCCATGACCTTCCTTTGCCTGATAATACTTTTTTTCATAGACAAAAGGTCAACCCTTTGTTCTTTCTGAGGAAGGCAAGAGTCTTCAGATCAGAGTTCTGGCATCCGCAGCATCGAGAAATTTTGCTGGTTAGCATAACTTGGTTCAAACTAGATGTGTAACAGGAAAGAAGCAATTACTATAAGAAAATTGCAGTCTCTGGTCATGGATCTTTATATTTTGGCATAACGAGCAAACTTGGAAAGCACTGTCCTTAACGTCCGAATCCCAGCTCCAGTTTTCGAGCTGGCCATCATCTGTAGCCAAAACCGAAAGCAAGTGTTAGACGTCTACTGTTTCAGGGTTAACGCCAGACAACTACAGTGGTTTTACACATACCACAGGCTGCACTATCGACTTGTTTGCCTTCAGGCTCTGCAAAATTGGATTTGATACAGCCAAATCTGTTATTATAGATGGTGCACCAATCTATTAAGAGAGAATTAAGAAGCAAAATACATGCCAACTCACTCACCTCTTCGATTTGCATAGCACGGCGTGCTACATCAATTGGAAACACCAAATCGGTCTTGGTTAATACAATCTGGTATTTTGTTTGAGATCTGCATATTTGAAACCATGATTCAGAATGCATAAACAGTCCAACAAACTAGCATTTGCCGAAGGGGCATAGTGCGGTCAAAGACTCTACTTTTCCATCAAATTAATGAGTTCGCGATCTCTCGGCTTCATTCCCCATTTTGTGTCGATAAGAAGACATACTTGTTTCAGACCTGTTCTCGTTGACACATACTCCTTAACCTGCACAGTTGGGATGGGACAGCTTCTCAGTGAACAATAAGATGGCATATGTATGTCAGTGAGTAGTTTGACCATGTTAATGCACTTTCATTGTAAACCAAAACAAAAAGTAAGATGGCAGACAAGAATTTACATCTCCGTGCTATTAGGAAATGATTAAAAGACTAAATAACCTTGATGCATGTCAGAAAAACTCCTATTTGACAGCAAAAGGTTAGTTCCCAATTTTACAGAAACCACAAACTTCCAGAAAGATAGAAGCTTTGTAGTATATGTCCTTAAGATTATTCAGTAGACTTACGAGCTCCTCCCAAGAATCCTTCACTTCTTCTTTCGCATAAGCAAAGCCATATCCAGGCAAATCGACCAAGCATAACTTTCCCAGCTCAAAGAAATTAATTGTCTGCAAAATGAACCATTCAAGTTTATAAAAGAAAAGGAACAGATACTATTATCAGTTGAGACAACAGTTTCCAGAAATAGCAGCACCTGAGTGAGGCCAGGTTTGTCTGATGTTCGTGCAACTCCCCATTGTCTCGTAAGTGAATTCAGTAGAGATGACTTCCCAACATTTGACCTTCCTGGAAGACAATTGTTTGGATTAAACCATAGCGACACTCGAAATAACAAGCAATGTCCTTACAAGAAAGAACCATACTTCTAAGAGATAATAAATATAAAAAATCAGATTCTGCTAAGTACTGAAACAGACTGCTGCATGGCGTATGGCAAATATTTGAATGAACTCGAGTAAAAAACATTTATTTTATTGAATTTTCATAACTTGCTATTCGTTACAAATATTTTAAAGCATATCAGAATGCCACATCTAAAGTACTACAAATCAGCATATCTATGCAATTCTTTGAAGACATAACTTGCGAAGATAGATCAGTTTGATTATAAATTAATATCGACTCTTAAAGTAGGGTGACATTGTACAACCAATGCCAGAAACAAAATGCAAGCACACATATAATTACCACACTTATACACATGGAGATTGACATACCAGCAAATGCAATCTCAGGAAGGTTGGGAGGTGGAAAAGAAGATGAAACCTTTGCAGCAGCAAAAAAGGTCAACTTATTCCTGAAGACCTGTAAACATATGAGCAAAAGTCTACATGAATAGAAGAAATAACAACACTTGCACAGAACAGGCACCAGTCCTTGACACAAGATATGTCAACAAAACATAGGATATGCATACATTTTCTTCAATGCGTTCTCTCTCAGAGCTTTTGGAATCTGGGATATTATCAAGTGGTACAGACAACTCAATGTTATATCCAGCCCTTTTTAGCTCAATCATACGTCGCCGGCCCAACAACTGAAAGTTGACTCGATGTAAGTACTATAAGTGGAAATATAGAATCAAATCACTGTTAAAAATTATAAAGAAGCCATGAAAATTACATTATCTTCCACAAAGGAAAGGATTGAAGGACTGGGTTTAATTGCACGGAACTCTGCATTCTTTGACATTGCCACTTCTTTCTCTAATTGTTTCTTCTTTTCTTTGGCAGTTTCTGATGTGTAACAAAATAAAAGGCATAAGAAACATGGGGGGAAAACAAGAGATATCATCAAAACTTGGAAGACAGCATTACCAGTCTTCAGATAGCCTGAACTTGAAAAGACTCTTACCATTGACACCCAATCCATCATCCATCCGCTTGTTCGACGTATCATATGGATCTAGACGCATAACACGTTTTTTCTTCTTCTTTGGTTCGTCATCCTGAACCTTGGTATCACCTTCAAGACTGATCCTTTTAGTCCTCAAACCTTTCTTGCCATAAGTTATAGAAAATGATCCCAGGGTTTTGCTCTTACTCCGATCAGCAACTGTACTCAAGTCTAACTCACGTTTGCTATGTCTTTTCAGTATATTGGTCCCATCACTATCCAGTTGATCAAACCTCCTCGGCTTACTAGTCCTAGTACCACGCAATTGCCTAATTTCATCATCCACAACTTCAACAGATTCACCTCTCCTTCCAGAATTGCCACCTTCTTTACGGGAAACCCACATTGAGCGAGGAGGACCACTGCCACTGTTCCTTTTAAGAGAACCATCTCTTGTAACCCTAGATTCTCCTTTCCAAGGTTTTCCTAATGCACGCTTCAGTTTGGGTTTAAGCTTGAACCCAGAAAATGCTTCAGCATTCATTGTCTACTTCACACTTTCAACACTCAAATTCAACGCCGACGGAAGAAAGTCACAGATTTTAGGTCTCCCCAAGTCCTGCAACACCTAATTATCAGAAACTATGAGAACTCAACGACAAAAGAACATCAGAAAACGCAGTACAGTTGTAACATAAAGAACCCTCTAGATAGCTAATTAAGACAAAGCTCTCTACCCTATCACTATCAACGCGAATTAAGAAACTTATAAAGGTACAAACTTCATTCTGAACCTTTAAGCTCGTTTTGGTTTCCTCAACTTCCCCAGAAAACAGAGTTCTGCTGTTTATATCAAACGAATCAGACAGCCTTAACAAACTGCTAGGTTTCCTTTTCTGACGCTTCACCCTGAAACCCAAAAGAAGAACAATAAGGTGGTGCGAAGAGGGAAACGACATGGTTACCGTTGATGCGTGTAGTTTCTTCGAAGTGTCTGCTCTTCCCTCCTGGCGGTGGCCGTCAATTGAGCATGCTAAATGCTATGCGGAAGGCAAACGACCTTCCCTCAGTTTTGAAGCTGCAGAAAATACTTTTGGCCGTGAATCAGCCAGAATTCCAAAGCAGTGAAGCTGCAAGCGAACGATTCACAAAAATTGAACTAAGAAATCTCATCAACTGAATGGCTATTTGACTTAATCGATCGATTGATTCCTTCCGGCCATGCGAGATAAAAAAAAAGAAATTACGGAGAAGGGAACTTACGATGTGGAGGTGCGCGGGGGTCCAGGAGAAGGCCGAGGAGGAGATGCGATCGGCCAGGCCGGCGAGGAAGTGCGGAGCAAGCGGAAGCTGGCGGGCGGCGGAGAGGGGGAGATGAGGTGGAAGAGTTGGCCGGCGATGGCGGGGTCGGGGAAGAGGGAGAGAGCGTGGATGAGCGGGGAGACGAGGTAGTGAGGGTGGGAAGTGAGCAGAGTTTCGAGGAATTGCGGCTGCGAGAGAGCGGCGGAGAGCTGAGTGAGCGCGTAGGCGACGTGGTGGGAGAGAGAGCGCGGGTTGGCGATGAGATTGGAGACTCAGACGAGGCTAGGCCGCTAGGGATGGCAATGGGTCGGGTTGGGTCGGGTTTTGCCAAACCCAAACCCGTGGGTTTATCCGTGAAAAAAACCCGGGGGAAAACTTACTGGGTTTGAAAAACTCAAACCCAATCCAACCCGCTGAGTATCAGCGGGTTCATGGGTACCCAAGGGTTTTTGTCGTAAAAAATTTACTATAACAAGTTTCTATCAAAATTAAAGTCAAATATCAATCTCTCATTACAAATTATTCATATATAAAACACCATTCTAGAAATTATTATATGGGTGTGGGCGGGTACCCATGGGTCGGGTACCATGGGTATATGTGGATTAGGGCTTTCATTTCGGTTACCCGTTAGCGGCTAACCGAAAACCGAACAAACAGAGGGGCGGTTGGTTGACGGAAGGGATCATTGGTCAGGCGGTTAGCCGAGAAATCGAAGCAGGTTAACCGGCTAACCGACGATAACCGACCGAGATGAAACGACATCGTTTTGCCTACTCTTAAATACAACAATTCCCCCCCAACCCTAGCACTGCTGGCCTTCGTTCTCCCTCAACCCTCACACACTCTGCGACTGCCTCTGCCCGCCGCCTCGCCTCGACGACCTCATCCTCCCCGGCCCCTGCCGCGCCTCGCCGCCCGTCACCCGCCTCACCGCGCCTCACCGCCTCGCCGCCTCCACAGTCAAGTTCAAGGAGAATCAAATCGGCACCCACCCACCCCTCCCCCCTGTCGTGGCGCCGCCTCCCCTGCGCCCCGCCGCCTCCTCCACTGCTCGGCGCCAGGCAGAATAAGGAAAGAGAGAAGCTCGGTCTGGGAGAAGCTCTTCTTCTTGATTCTGGGCCAGACCGCTAGAAGCAGAATCATCACTCAAATTTTAGGCGATTTTAGGTTTTCTTCCTGTTGGGCCGCGTAGTTGAGCGTACTTGGGCCTTGGGCCCGATAGAGTCCTATTGGCAAACAGGCCCAATAAGAAGGCTCAGCCTAGTCAGAAGGGCCGAGTCCACGGGCGGTTCTTGACCAACCCTAGGCCCGAGAAGTAGCTGAGAGACGCCCGACATAAAGCAACTGACGGTGGCAGAAAAATAAAGAGCCGTTGAGATACGCATCTGGTGTCAGACAAGACTAGGCATTAATTGCCAGTCACAGGCGGCCTGCAGAAAGGCAGAAAGCCTGCTCAGGACGCCCGACACGACCTGGGGCGCCTGACGTAGCATTTAATGCCTCAACCACCTTCAAACCATGTATAAATACAGAATGAGTGCATTAATGGTAAACTCAACTACTATCTATCTCTCTATCATAAATACATTTCTCCTCTACTTCTCTCTCTAACTTGAGCATCGGAGGGTGTCCCGGGCAACCGCCCCGGACCCTTGTTTTGCAGGATATCTGGAGCTACTCCATCATCCAAGAACAGGCGCCTCGCCCCAGCTCCACAAAACCGCCTAGTATCTACTAGGCACAAACAATTTGGCGCCCACCGTGGGGCAGGAGCGAAGCGCTGAAGAAAGGATGGATGGAAACTTTAGAACTCCGGTGAAAGATGTAGTTGGAGGAGAAGTCATCAGAGGGCTGGAAATGCCAACGGTCGAAGAAGAAAAAGACATGGAGGAGCGAGTGAAGGACCAAGGGCAACAAATCTCCAGTATGCAAGAAAGCCTGAGCCAGATCCTCACCATGCTCCGGAACAGAGACGAGCCGCAGAGTTCAAGGAAGCAGAGTGACAAGGGTAAAAGCATCGAAGGAGAGATTCCACCTAGCCCTGCTCCGACAGAGGGAGAGGAGTCCGAAGCGGAAGAAGATGCCGAAGGCGCCCACTTGGACCTCCTCGAAGAGCACTTGCGGCCCGGTTATGGAAGGCCTAGGGGTTACAACGTGTTACACAACCCCCTGGCGAAGAGCTTATTCAAAACCCAGGTGCCGTCAAACTTCTCGTCGCTAGGGCTTCCCACCTACACGGGAAACTCAGACCCGTCGGACCACTTGAGCGCCTTCATGCTCAAGATGCAGTTGATAAACGCCTCAGACGCAGATCTGTGCAAAGCGTTTCCAGTTACCTTTGGGGGGCAATGCAGAAGCTGGTACGCGTCTCTACCCGCGGGAATAATCGAGAGCTTCGAGCAGTTCGCCACCCTCTTCTCGTCAAAATTCGCGTCTCAACGAAGGAGGCAGCTCACTGTGTCGGCGCTCATAAACTGTAGGCAAGGAGAGGAGGAGACTCTAACCGACTTCTACGATCGGTGGAACACCATAGAGTGCGAGGTCCGAGACGTCTCCACTAGCGTGGCCGCAGGAAACCTAAGGATGTCAACTCACAGCCGCGAGCTAAAGAGGGCTCTCATAAAAAAGGAGCACAGTATCCAATCCTGGAAAGATCTAGACCGCGTCGTGCGTAAAGCTATATTCCTGGAAGAAGCCCTCAATGCCGAGGAGAACGCGAAAGGAGCACACGCCCCGGCGAGCAAGACAGAGAAGGGAAGGAACGGGTCGCCGAAGCGAAGGAGGCGTACGCCCGAAAGGCGCACCTACAAGCCCAGATTCAACAACAGAGACGGGAGAAGCGAGGTGTTCTCTTCTGAGAAAGAAGAAGAGGGACGCCGTGAAGGGGGCAAAGCCAGAGAGGCGCGTCCCCGGCAAAGGAGAGAGGACGATCAAAAGTGGTGCGACTGGCACCAACTTCCGACCCACGACACCACGGAGTGCCGAGAGTTCAAAGCCAGCCTCAAGTATCTGGCCCCCGGGGATCAGAAAAACCGCATGGACACACGGGGCACATCCTAGAGAGGGATCCAGAGAAAGAGATAGATCTCCAAGTTCAAGGAGACGATCCCACACGCCCAGACGTCAGAGGTCAAGATCGCCCAGGAGGGAGCGGACGCCGCGACGGGAACGCTTGCCCCCACCCCCAAGGCACGCTCCTCCTCTCAATCAGGGGCGAGAGGAGGAAGATGGGGTTGAAGTCATCACCATCGCAGGGGGCACAAATGCCCTCGGACAGAGGGAGACCACTTGATACAATGCATGAACGTTCACAGGAAAGAACAGGTTGAGATCAGCTTCACCCCATCTGAGCTAGCACCCGAGGAGTGCGGGGAAGACCCTCTGGTCATATCTTTCAGAACGAAGAAGTTCAAGGTTACTAGGGCCCTGGTCGACAATGGAAGTTCCGCAGATATCCTGTTTTACTCCACGCTCAAGAGCATGAAACGAGGGATACAGGATCTCAAACCGTCCACTACCAGTCTAGTGGGGTTCTCCGGCTCCAAAGTCCGAGTCCTCGGCTCCATCACTCTCCAAGTGACGATTGGTGGGCCGGGGCGACAAAAACACGCCTCATGGACTTCCATGTCGCGGATTGCCCGTCTGCTTACAACGCTATTCTCGGGCGCGGCTTCTTGTCGATTTTCTCGGCGGTCGCTTCCATCTGCCATCAAATGCTCAAGTTTCCCACCAAAGGCCAAATAGGACACGTCCTCGGGGACTCCCAACACGCCAAGGAGTGCTATCAAGCCACCATCAGGAACCTGGAGGTGGATCAAGTGGACGCCCGAGGAAGTCACCCACGCCCGGAAGTGGCCGAAGAAGACGTGGCGGTTGTCCTCGACGAGGAAGAGCCGGAGAAAAAGGTCTGAATCGCAGCCCACCTCGTGGAAGAGCAGGCGCGGAAGCTCTTATCCCTTCTCAGGGAATTCAAGGACTTATTTGCTTGGACATCGGAGGACATGCCGGGCGTCCCGAAGGAGCTTGCCGAACACTCCCTGTCGGTAAAAAGCAAGGCTCGACCAGGCAACAAAGAAGGAGAAACGCCTCGCTCAAGAAGCAAATGGCGCTGGAGGAAGAAGTGAAGCGCCTGCTGAAGGCTGGCTTCATCCGAGAGGTCAAGTACCCAACCTGGCTAGCCAATCCGGTTTTCGTGCACAAAGCGTCCGGGCTTTGGAGGATGTGCATAGATTTCACAAGCCTAAATGCGGCCTGCCCCAAGGACGCATATCCCCTTCCACGGATCGATCAACTAATCGACGCCACCGCAGATCACGAAACCCTAAGCTTCCTGGATATGTTCTCCGGCTATCATCAGATACGTCTATCGGAGGAAGACCAAGAGAAAACAGCGTTCATGACGCACATGGGGAATTTCTGCTACACGGTCATGCCCTTTGGACACGATTTTCTAGAAACAGCTGGGTCGAAACGTGGAAGCCTACGTCGACGAAGTCCTAGTTAAAAGTAAGAAGGGGTCAGACCACTTAACCGACCTAAGAGAAACATTTGAAACGCTAAGGAGGGAGCGCCTCCGATTAAACCCGCTAAAGTGTGTGTTCGGGGCCAAGGCGGGAAAGTTCTTGGGCTTCATGATCACTAACAGGGGCATAGAGGCAAACCCGAAGCAGATCGAGGCAATACTTAGCACGGTCAAGGAAATTCAAGCTTTCAACGGGAAGATGGCCGCCTTAAGCCGATTCATTCCGAGATCGGCAGACAAGTGCTCTCCATTTTTCCAGATGTTGAAGAAGTCCGCCTCACGATTATAGTGGGGCCCGGAATGTGACAAAGCTTTCTTCCAGCTGACAGAACAGCTAGCCTCCCCTCCTGTCCTAAGCGCTCCCATTCAGGCGAAGCCCCTACACCTGTATCTGGTGGTCTCTGACCAAGCGGTCAGCTCGGCCTTGGTAAGGAGAAGCGCCGAGGGCACGGATCACCCGGTATACTATGTCAGCAAAGCCCTCCTCCCAGCAGAGCGGCGCTACATGCAAATTGAGAAAGCGGTCCTTGCGGTCGTCTCTGCGGCAAGAAAGTTGCGCCCTTACTTCCAGGGGCACCCAATTACCGTGCTCTCCAACCTTTCCTTAAGAAAGATACTCAAGAGCCTGGACGTCTCCAGAAGAATGACCAAGTGGGCGGTCGAGCTGAGTGAGTATGATATTTCATACGCACCGCGACCCTCCATAAAGGGCCAGGTGCTAGCTGACTTCGTA